ACAATGTGTTATTTTGACGTGCAATTTCAGTTTTGTGTAATGTGATCATCGTGGATTATTATGTGTAAAATTGCAAAAATATCATTCAGACGGCGATGACGGCGATTTAAACCTAATTCACTTCAATAAAGATAACTATACATGCTATTCTTGTCATGGTGTGGGGGCACGCAGTCTCATGAATAATTTAATAGACACCGACGCGTCATCGATGCACTATAGTCCTTTGCCGCGTCACAATTTGTGACGTCAACACAATGTAGATTTTAAACCCGGAAGATGAAAATAGCGCAAAAAAGTTTAAAATTAACCAGTTTTCTCAAAGTTAAAATTATCGGATGCTAACATTGTTTTCTATAATGTGCAACAAACACCTCTGCTAAAATCTCAGAAAAAGTAGTATGGGGTTTCATGACCCTTTAATGTTCAACCAACAAAATTTTATTTTAGTGATGTCAAATGACATCCCCTTCAACCTGTAAAATTAAAATTTATAAACCATGTGCTTCACATTTTTGGTAACTAAGTAGTAAAGGAGACATTAGCACATGTTTAGGTCACATGCTCTCAAGGCTCCATAGTGAGCTCATTTTAGACTAGAAAATACATATAAATTCAAGTTATAAAAAATATAATTGTACATGCAAATGTGTTTTCTAAAGTTTTTTGTCATTTTTAATGCACTTTAATCAAAACAACAACTCGGAGACCAACAAATCTGAGCGTCATGCATAACTGACAAAGTCCTATTATGTGATGCATATTTTGTGTAGCTGGCACTATTGACCAGCATTGGCGGGCAGTATAGTAGCCTTTATGCATGTGTTTTAGGTTCATTTTTGGAAGATGGAGAGACAAATCTGTACTTATTTCTGAAAGTATTGATGATAGTGATATGAGTGCATCAGAAAATCAGGTTGTAGTAATAAAACAAGTTGTTGAGGACCAAGGAGGATAGAAGCAATGAGGGTGAGGGCAGTGATGAAGAATAGGTTGTTGTGGAAGTCAGGCATTTGGGTACATTATTGTATGCCAGTTT